TATTGACTAATATGATATGAATCCTCTATTTGACAGGAAGAAAATTGATGTTAATGTTGAGTCTCATGATTTTTTAGGGGAGTGTCTAATTTGTCCTTTAAAATGACAAGAATTATATAGATCATTTCAAAACCCCTTAGTATTTTAAAATTTATTTCTTTTACTATAATACCCTCATATATGTGTGTGTGTGTGTGTATGTGTGTGTGTGTGTATGTGTGTGTGTGTGTATCAACATGTAATCACTCACTCTCATCTCAATCTCTTTTCTCTCTGTCTCGCACTTATCACTATTCTCTTCATCGGTGCCATCGCCATTCTCCATCTACACCACCACCGCCGCTCACCATAGAACTCTTTCTCTACCGTCTTCATTACCACCATTATTTGTTACATCCACAACTTCAGATCTGTGATTATTCACAATTGTCGTCACAGGGAAAGGACGATTTGTGACGGTTCGCAAATCTCAAATCTGAGATCTCTCTCTCTCTCTCTCACTCTCACTCTCTTCTTCTCCTTTTTCTTTTTCTTCTTCTCTTGATCATCTGTTTTCAAACTCTGTCTCTGTATCTCTCTTTCTTCTTCTCATGATGCTCTGTTCTTTCAACAGTAAAATTTGACTCTAGTTCATGACACAAAACTCTTCTGTAAAGCCATCATCACAGTTTGTTTCAAAGTAAAATTTTACTTTGAATTATTATAAACTTTACTTTGATTCAGAGTAAAATTCTACTCTGTAATTAAAAAAAAAAAAAAAAAAAGAGTGAAATTTTACTTTGAATCAAAGTAAAACTTACTAAGGCCAAGTTTGGCATCTCCCCAAAAAGATAAAAAGCCAAAAAGTTACTCAAAAAGTTAAAAAGTTATCATTATTTACCAAAAAAAAATTAAAAAAATATTTTTCCACCAATTAGTACAACTCAGCAATCGCTGCTGTTCAGCTCTGTGCTGCATGTGGCCGAACAAAATTGCACAGTTTGGGTGCAATTTTCACAAACTGTTGTTCGGCCCGTGGAGCCCCATCACGAGTCCCGTTTTGATAATCTGAACCATTCAATGTGTAGAACTTGTCGAGTATTATATGTCTGTAAAAAAATCACATTTATCGGATATGGATAACTATATGATCAAATCAATTTTGTATAAAAAAAATAGATGGCGTTATAATTAACGATTGAAAAAAAACAAATCTGATCAGATAGCTATCGATATCTGATCAACGTGATTTTTTATAACCATATAGTACTCGACGAGTTTTACACATTAAACGGTTCAGATTATCAAAATGAGACCCATGATGGCCCCCACGGGCTGAACAAAACCGTCTAGTGCAATGCCATCACGGGTCTCATTTTTATAGGCATATAGTACTCGACGAGTTCTACACATTAAACGGTTCAAATTATCAAAATGAGACCCGTGATGGCCCCCACGGGCTGAACAAAACCGTCCGGTTCAATGCCCGAAAAGTAGCCAATAATTTCTTACCACCAATTCGGCTCAACAAATTGTACGGTTGTACAACACACATCTCTAATCTTCTCATACATACTTCTTTATACAATTTTTTAATACACATTTTTCCATAAAAAGTAAAAAAGTTAACTCAAACATTCATATTTTTTTCCTCAACTTTTTAGTCCAAAAAGACAAAAAATGCACTTATTAAGACACTCCAAACAACCCATAACTTACAAAAACAGATTAGTAAGCATATCAGTATGTTGTTAACCAGAGTAAAATTTTACTGTTACAAAAACAGAGTACATATTAAATGAGCGAACCATAGTCGAATTTTACTTTTAGATCTATGAACAAATAAACAAAAACTCTTAATTTTTCATTGCAATATCTCGATTTCTCATTTTTTTGTCAATTTTTTTTTTTTTAATCTCTGATCTGAAGTTATTGATCTCAAATATGAATTCATAAGTATCAAATCTGGATGGTGGTGGTTTAATGATAAAAATGGTGGTTGTCGGCTGACAGTGAGGATGAGCGACGCTGATAGACGATGAAGATGGTGGAGATGATGAACAAACATCGAGTTGGTGAAGAAAGAGAGAGAAAGAGAGAGAGAGAGAGTATAATGATTTCAGTTTTGACCCAACCCTTATTGTATTCTAGACTCGGGTTTCATAGTTTCGTATTGTTGATCATATCTTGTTTCCCTTGTGTTTCTTCAATATTTGGCTATTGGGTTGTTGTGGTTACGTTTAGAACAGATTGGTTGCTTAGTTTTCAAACTTTTGTTGCCTAGATTTTTGCTCCTTCGCTCGAACGGGTTTTGCAAACTCTCAGTACTTTTGTAGGTCTGCAAAACTACTGGGAAAATGTATTCTACGCTCAAGCGGTTCTTTTTGCGCTTGAGCGAGCTCAGCTCGAGCGGTCTTTCTTGTGCTCGAGTGTTTGTCTATTGTCTGCAAAACTACTAGGAGTGTACATTCTGAGCTCGAGCGTCATTTTTTGCGCTCGAGTGGACTGTGTATATATCAGTTCACAGCAACACTTGTATACATCACTTTTTTCACACATTTTTCCTTCAAAACCCTAAAGTTGAGACCCTCTCTCTCTATAACACTACAACAAGTTGGGTCTTGAACGATGAATTTTTTTTGTCTCCAAGGAGCTTATTTCGTCACTATAGATATTTGTGAGGAAATATTTTCCTCACCGGTTCGTCATTGAATGTTTGTCACTAAAAAACGCCGTGGGGAAAAATAATTTTGTCACCAATGAAATTACTTCAGTGGCGAAAATTTTTATCACCAATAAAATATCATTTTGTTACAAAAAATCTTCATTTTCGTCACCAAATAGTTATTCAGTACCATATTTATAATTTTAGTTGACAAATAAATTTGTCACACATGTTGATCATTGATGACGAAATAATTTCGTCACAGTAAGATGTAAAGTTGACGAAATTGTTCATCTCCAAAAGGCCATACATGGGTGACGAAATTTATTTCGTGACAAAAATATATATACGTGACAATTTTTAGTCACCAAACAGCAAAATCAATGAAAACTTTCATATATAAGCTGTAATAAATTTTATCACAAAAAATATTTGTTAGCGATAAATAATCACTTTGTCATAATAACAAGTACAAATGACGAAAAAAATTCATCACTAAACTTGTTTCATGTTTTATATTTCAATTTAAATAATTATTTCACACAAATATCCCTGCTCATTTTCCAATAGCCTTTTAAATGTACTAAGAAATCTACTAGCTGTTATACACCACTCCACAAAAAAATTCACTAAACAATTTATATTATCAATCAAAATATATCCATCAAACAAATTTAATAATAATCCATTAAGTATAACAAAAAACTAAAGCAAATCTCAAAATAAACTAACGTGGAGTCCACAAAAAAAAAAAAAAAAAAAGTCAACGCTTGATCTTGATTTGCAAGTATGCTTCCAAATGTCATCAAAAATCAATCTGCAAAGAAATAAACAAGAAAAGTATTAACATATTATCAATTACATTGTATAGATCTCTCTATCCATGTCAATACAAATTGTGTACACAATTAGTCTAGTTTAACAACCAAAAGTTCCTTTGTACATGGCAAGCTCCTATTAATCACATCACTAACTTAGAGCAACTCCAACACTGCCTAGCAAAAATACACAAAAAAGTAAACACATAGTTTTGTCTCTACTTTGGTTAGTGTGTATTTTAATAAGGGTTATATGACAAAATTAATACCAATTAATACCACAATAACAAAATTTCATTCCAAATTAATGTGAATATAATGACAATCAACATCTCAATGCATGGAAACTACCAAAACATAATGACAATTAATAAAGAACCATGTTTAATTTTGTGTGTGTAATATATATCAACATTAAATATAAGAGTAAAAAAATAATGTAAATCAAGAAAAATAACCTGATGGAATAAAAGTATAAATACATGGGACTAAGTGGGTTATAAATTTTCTTCATGGACTTCTTCGGTGAGTATCCCCTAAAAGATTTATCAATTTTACATAATTTTATCTTTAGTGAGTAGAAACAATTTTTAAAATTTAAAAAATATTTTTTTGACATTTATTTTTGTCAAATTAGTTTATATTTTATCAAATTGACGACTTTGCCATTGAAATTGAGCAACGATATCTTCAATTGTCCTCATTTGAAACAAGATTCAAAATTTAGGGCCAAATGTATTACAATTGAAAAGCAAGGGATCAAAGTGACACAAGACCCAAACTATAGGAACCGTTAGTGTAATTCGCCCTTTAAACAATTTCAAAAAACAAATTGAAAATAAATCCAACAAATAGGGTAAATCACTTAACCAATGATTTTCTATAGGGGTAGAGTGGGATTTGTAAATAGACAGACTTAAACATGCACAAGGCAAAAAAAAATACACTGAGACTACCACTCATTTCTGGTGTTTAGGCATTTCACACTAATAGGACAAAAGCAGCAGCAAAAAAATGATAAGATGAAGTTGTGAAGTGCTTCCTACTGAACTATACAAACTAGAAAGTAGTACAGGTAGAAAGCTTGTTACCTTTCCATCATCTGTTACACAATTGCAAAATTTGTGCTTTGGATTTTCAAGATATCTACAACATAAAATATCTTCAGATTGATTAGTACCCAAGAAATGATAGTACACCTCATGGTTCAAGTTGGCACTGGTCTCAGTCCTAGCATCCAAATTTTCACTCTCCCCACAGACAAAGACAAAAAAATTTACCATCATTACTATGATATAGATTCACAATTCCCCCAATATTTTTTATTTTGTGAATTCTATTTTCAAAGGCAAAATTACTAGTGTTATTCCAACCCAAATTGGCAATTTGAGAGGCATCATTGTATTTAACCTGTCAAATTCTTACTGGTCATATTCCTCCAATTTTAAAAAACATTGTGAATGTAGAGGCTTTAGATCTATCCAGTAACTAGTTGTCTAGTGTAATCCCTCCAGAATTAACTTCCCTTAGGTTTATTGAAGTATATAATGTTAGCTACAATGACTTGTCAGGCATTATACCAAGAGGATTTCAATTTGACACCTTTGGCAATGACTATTATATGGGTAATTTTGGCCTCTATGGATTTCCGCTGTCAACAAGATGCTCTAAGAGGAGGATGGCACCAATCAATAGCAGCTTTGAGAAGAGGACAACACTAATCAACAGCAGCCAATAGAAGGGGGTGCTGAGACCTCTGTGGAGTTGTTTATTATTATTAGTCCATAACAGAGTTATTGCTACATTGTAATTTTCAAAATATCACCAAAAATGGGGGGGAAAAAGTTAAAAAGAAAGGGCCATACCCCAGACTCATCATTTACTCAAATTTCTTCATATATTAGTTACAGAATTAAAACTACAAAATGTCCAAGTGAATATTACAAGCCAAGGTTGTTGTTTTACTTACTTGGGAGCTGGGTATCGGCTATAGAAAAAACCTTTGCTATCATGGGTCCAACTGGCATAGGAAAACTTAACCTGCAGCAAAATGGACAAAAATAAAAACACACTTTTTACCAAATAAGATATGCATATATACATAGACAGGAAAAAAATATGCAATATATATTTCTATCGATGGTATTTTTCAATTCATATTAAAAGGATGATGAATGTTTTAGTACTCACCCAAGACACAGTATCAAGCTCGATTATCTTATTTTCAACCTGCATAACTTTGATAGTGATCCAATCACTTCCATTTGAGCTAAGTCCATATGCCAAGTACTTGGCATCTTGGCTAACAGCACATATTCTCATTGAAACCATTCCATCCTCGCTAAGTCCGTTCGGATCAAACAAAACCTCTAGTACTCCATCCAAACTATCTTGAAATATAATTCAAGAAAGCAAAGAAAAAAAAACAGGAATCAATGAATCTGTAAACCAAATTTTAGACCTCTCATGAAATAAAATCTCACAATATTGTCCACATAATTGTCAAAGTAATGAATACAACTCAATTCAAATAAAATGAAGAATGAAGATAAGGTTGAAGTAATAAAAGATATGGCACTATATTGTCCAAGATCAAAATAAATTTTGTAAGTTGTAGCTTATATCTTCTGCATCAAATTTTGAAACTTTAAAGTAATGATCAGAGAACTATCCGTTCGCAATGATAAAGACTATACACGGAAATAATAACTAACAAAAACTACTTTTAAAAATAAAAAAGTAAAATAAACAACAAGACATTGATGTTTCCGATTCATCGATAACTTTAAATATGCAATAGTGAAGTTATATTCATTTGTAATAATTGCATCAAAATTAGTAATAGGCAAGTTCACATCCACCAACAACCAAAAAAAAAAAAAAACTTAGAACTTGATTTTAAGTTTGTCAATTGTTTATTATATTTTTTGATGATATACATCAACAAAAGCCACAGATTAATCTCAAGGAAATTGAAGAATCTCTAGCACAGGAAAATATTTTTACTCATTGTAAATTTTGCACATCATCATCGGTAACTAAACTAATGTGATTAGAACATTAATTAAGAACTCAAGTCAATTTTAACCTTCTAAAACACAAACACTCACAGATACAGAGAAGCAGAGATGCTCAAGACAAGAGAAGAACAAGGTAATGAAAGAAAATATTAACTAAATCAAACAAAATGAAACTCACTTAATAATAAAAAAAACACTAAACAAAAAACAAACACTACACAAAAGTGAATAATATGTAAACAAAGAACAAACACTAAACTCACTTGATAAAAAAAATATTAACTAAATCTTAAAGAAAATTGATTAAGTATGAAAAGTGAATAATATGTGGGTTTCAATCAATAAACAAACACTACACAAAAAGCACTAAACTGGTGTATATATATATATAATAAAAAAATTATACTATATGTATCAAACTTTACTCACTTGAAGAATTGAATCCAACCCAGTACCCAAACATTAACTATCAAATGAATTACATAAGGCCATGTGTTGGGGTTTTGAACTCAAGCTCAATTCTTCTGAAGAGTGTTGTGAGGCTTGGAAGGTCATGTGTACTGGGAATCATGGGCCTTGTTTGTGTGATTGTTGGGTGTTTTGTGGGAATCGGGAGGCTTGTGGGAAGCAAATCGGTGAGGTGAGTTACAATTTGACACTAGCTTTCATAGATTTTTTAATGATTTGATTGAATTTGATCATTTGGTGTGCTATTGTGGTTATTCTGTTTGAATTGGTTTTTTATTCTAAATTGTTTCATGGTTTTTTATTCTGTTTGATTGAATTTAATTAGATTTTTTTATTCTAAACTAGCTATTGTGGCATTTTATCAGAAGCATGAGACTTTACTGTATATAGAATCACCAACAATTCATTCACTTCAATGATTATATTAGGTAGAATATGAATATCATAAACTAGTTATTGGCCCCGTTTGGTAGAGCTGTGGGAAAGTGATTATAGCTTATAACTTAACAGCTTATAACTTATAACTGTAAACATAAGCTGATTTTTAACTTATAAATTAAGCTTCTCCTCCCCCACTCAAAGAATAAGTTGATTTTTGACTTACAAAAAGCTATAAGCTGTATTTTTAAACTGAACCAAACACATCAAAATAGCTTAAATTAAGCTAAAAGCTGAAATAAGCTGAAAATAAGCTCTACCAAACAGGGCCATTGTGGCATTTTATCAGAAGCATGAGACTTTACTGTATATAGAATCACCAACAATTCATTCACTTCAATGATTATATTAGGTAGAATTTGAATATCATAATCAGAATACAGAACATGTTAATCATTCTATTTTCTATATTTACCCCTCAAATTAAAATCATTCAAGTTGTTTGGAGATGTTAGAAGCAACGAATGGAATGACTTTAATCTCATCTTAACAATGAATTCCATTTACGCAAACACGTCCGAAGACAGAGTTAGGGTAGAGAATGAGAAACCCAGAGACCTGAAGAGAGAGAAAGAGGGGTAGAGAAAGAGAAACAGAGACAACAAACTGACCTGGAACTCACGGTGGTGCTATAGCTTGAAGTCGGTACAGGATGAACTCACGGTATGGAGGATGAACCGTCCTCACGGTGGAGGATGAACTCACAGTGGTTCTTTGTTACAGCTTTGTGAAAGAACTATAGATAGATTAGGGCACAAAGTTCTAATCAAGGAGTTTTAAAAAAATTTGGGACTGAAATTTTGATATTATTCCATTAGGCGCTAAATCAGAATTTTTTTTGTCGCTTTAATTTTGGGCATATGTAAATATAGAGAAAAATATGAAAAAAATAAAAATAAATCATAATTCATAAATTGGGCAGTAATGTGAAAGTATTCCTACCAAAAAATAAATCTGTGTGTTTTATGAAATTTTTTAGTCGCCAAATTTGCAATTTGTTATAGTGAGAGAGAGAGATACGAGAGGAAAACTGATAAACACAAAAAAAAAAAAAAAAAAAAAAAAGTAAAAAAAAAAAAAAAAAAAATAGTACTCAATTTTTTTTCATTACCACTCAATTTGTCAAAATTTTCTCTTCAAAATTAGTGACAAAATAATTTCCTCACTAAAAGATCTCAAAATATTAAAAATTATATATTTCTCACCAAATAATCTTAAAATATTTAAAATCAAGTTTTTCAAAAAAAAAATGTAAAATTATTAGTGACGAAAACATATTCCCCACTAATAATTTTATAATTGGTAACAAATTTTTTTCTCACCAAAAGTCTCAAAATTTTAGCACCAGCAAAAAAAATTAGCGGGAAAACTTTCAATGACGAAACTTAATTTTTCCTCACCTAAAAAGAAATATTTATTGACGAAAATAAATTTCGTCACCTATTATTTTTATTTTCTTATTATATGTGACAAAATTTTATAATTCATCACAAATTATTCTTATTTAGTGACGAAATTTATTTTCTTCACTGCTTTTCGTCATCATAGGTTACTTTTGTTGTAGTGTATAGTGGTTTCTTGAATGAACTTCCATTTTTAATTTTATGCAACTTCCATTTGTATTTTTATTCAACTTCCATTTTTATTCAATTTCCTTTGGGTTTTGGAAGAAAATGGAGGTTAACCCTAAAATGTCTTAAATGGATATTTTGTATAATAAATGAAATTGGCATTGAGAATGTGAAATTGGATGGATGCTTATATAAATGGTGGAGTTGAATATGTATTACCTCTCACCTATGAAAATTTTGATAATTTATCTATCGCGGAGATTGTATGTATGTTTAGTAATTACTGTTTGGGGCTATCGGTGGAGGACAAATATGATTGTTTTAGAAAATGCATGAGGATTAGGTGTATTGAAACTAATCTCTTATCAGTTGTCATTGAATATGACTGTATTTTAATACATTGTAAATGTATGATGTGTGGGAGGAGAAAGAGGATGTACTCCATGCTTGGGAGAGGAAAGGGGATGGACTATAGTAAATTAAGTTGGCCTGTGTGTCTAGGGTGAAAATCCCGAAACTGTGCGTATACATGGGTGCCGATTCCCGCTGACGAAATTTTCGTAAAATGGCAAATAGATGTGTTTTTATGACAACTATATTGATTTGAGACCCAATGAGTTGTATCTTCAGTTTGATTGATTGAGTGAAATGGATATGATTAATGAATTGAGATATGAAGCTGGACATAGCATGGTTTTGGAAAATAGTCGTAAATGAGTTTGAATCACAGGCATATCTTTGTCAAATTTATATATTGTGTTAAATTGTTTCTACTACGTTTTGGCTCACCCTATGTGGGAAAAACATTTTAGGTGTTGGTAATATGTTTCTGCCAAGGCAGTAACTAGGAAGAGTCGGGAACAAGAGCTTCTTTTTTGTTGTAATTATTTTGTATAGCCAAGGGCTTTAAATATATTGACTTAAAGTCCATTTTTGTTGTAACCAAGAACCCATATTGGAAAGTTGTAAGCCTTTAGGGCATTTATTATTTGTTTTTCTTCCAGTTTCTATCTCATGCTGTGATATATGCTGTAAATTCAAAGATAGGCTCATGAATGTATAATTGCATATGTCACTCTCTTGTACAACTGGATCTCATCTATGCTTTGATTCTTATTTTCTTGGTTGGCATATTGTTTTATTTCGGGGCGTTACAGAGAGAGAAAGAGAGTGCTATAAAAGAAATGGAAGAAAGATAGGGTATAATGGTCAAATAAAATATTCAAATAACAAATTTTGTCCTTTATACAGAAGTTTATAATTATAAGGAGGTTTTGAAAGTACTAAATTTTTTTCTATCTTTTTAACAAGAAAAGAAAGTTAAGAGGGATTTATGGCCAAATTTCTTGATTATTTATGAGTTCGTTGCCCTAATTCAATTCTAAATTACAATATGTTATTGCTAATTATGATATGATCTTCTGTTTGACTAGGACGAAAATTGATGAGAATATAAGGTTGATATAACTTACAAGTTCCCAATTATGTTTTATTTTCTTCTAGTTTATCATCATTCCCATTTTCTCTCTATTTTCAGCTTTTAATCTCATTACTGAGAAAAAAAATTAAAGTAACTATTTCGGCTCCAATGACCCTGTCATAAATGAGGATCTTCAACTCCTCCATGCCTACAGGATACATTATATATGCCCTAGGATATAGTAGATTTTTTACTTTTATTTTTTTGTTTCTGTTGGTTACATATTTTGTACAAGCCAATTACAATTCGACGCGTGGCAGTTAGTATTGGTTATTACGAGATCTGAGCAGCAGTGAATCAACAAAGAGATGCAAGATGATATGGCTTCAACAGTTACTCACATTTAAATTCAAATTTAGGAGGGAAGTCTAACTACAAGTGATTGCATAGTGGGCTAATTACAAGGCAACATGATCAGCGGTTATGGAGGAGCAGTTCGAAGGTTGGAAACGTAGTTTGATGGTCATCCTAGAGAAGTATAAATAGCAGAGAAGGCCCCAGAAAAAGCCCCCAAACTTAGATCCAAAAAACCAGTCTTATTATACTTATTTTTCTTTCCAGTTTTACATTTCCAGTCTTACATTTTCTGTACTTTAAATTCCTGCACTGCACTTCATTCATAGGAGTAGTTTCAAGTAGATTGTTGTTGTAAACCTCTACGAGGCTGAGTTTGGATCATTGTAAGTTTTTTTAATGTTAATGAAATACTTCAACTGTTTTTCATTTAATTGTTATTTTGCTTAATTCTCCTAAATCAAGCCACCAGTAAAAGTCTTCTTCATTGAGCCTGAAAGAACTAAAATGCAATCGTCTGATAATTGGTTGGCAATTAATTTTCTGTAAGGACTGATTGATCCTTGCTGGCACGCTCGCAATTACAATAATAACCTTCGAAAGCCAAAAATCCAACATATATTTTTGGCACACCCAGTGGGACTAATTGAAATGGCTAGACGTAGGAGACAAGGAGAAAATGAACGCTTGGAAGAAGGCGTGGAAAGAGAGGTAGAGATACCTAATCCAGAGGATAATGTGATAACACATCCTGTGAAAACTCTCATTTTATCAGAACCTATGGTCGAACAGACCAGCACTTCAAAATAAGTACCACATGTTCATAATATTGGACGAAACTAAGGAATTGGACCATCCACTATTCCATCTACTCAGCCAATAAATCCATGGGGTGGCCTAGTAGATGCTATGGGACAGTAATTAATGAACACAATGGAAAGGTAGGCAACATTCTTTTTGGATCGAATGAATAACCACCAACTAACAAACATAAGACACATGGAGGAAGTTTCAAATGTCCTTCAGCAAAGATTGGCTAGAGATAAATAGCCTATGCAAGTTAATGGACATTCTAATGGTCAAATTAGTAATTAGAACTATGAAAGACCATCACCTCAGTCTTGGTACGAACCTATTCTGAGGCCTATAGCAGGTCAAAATGCCTCAGTACTTAACAATGAAACCATGCAATTTGGTGGATCTGGCCCAGTATAAGAAAATGGCATAAGAATGGTTCCAAATCCCATGTTCGAAGCCATACCTGGCACAAGGGGGTTCACTAATCCCTTATTCGAATTTATACCCGGGGGGTTGGAAGGTTTTCCTACAAATGGAAGAGACACAACACCAGTTCCAGCACCTTTCGTAGGTCCTTTCGCAGGACAAGCTCAAAGGGGTTACCCACACCTCCAACAGCAACCTGCACCACGGGGACAACCAGTCCCAAATTTACCACTTTATGGGCCAAGAGGACCACAGGCACAAGTTTGCCCACCAAATCCTGTGTTTGCCCCTTCAGTAGTGGTTCAGCAGGCACAAAATATGGTCCCTAGGGACCAAATTGCTGACATTGTTAGAGAGATGTGCGGACCAATGGCTCGGGGGGTCCAGACTCTAGTGTACAGGAAACCATACCCAGAATGGATAGACAGGGTACATGAATACCCAAGAGGTTTCAGGATACCGGATTTTGCCCTTTTTTATGGGAATGGAAACTAATCAACAGTGGAGCATATTGCTAGGTTTGCTGCTCAATGCGGTGAATTTACTAATAATGACTACATAAAGTTAAGGTTATTCCCAAATTCCCTAATTGGGGGAGCATTTGTATGGTATATTAACCTTACACCTAGCTCTATCCAAACTTGGCAACAAATGGAAGAGGCATTTTATGCCCAATTCTTCTAATCGGAGCCAGAGGTTTCCATGGCAGACTTGGCAACATTGAGTCAAAGGCCTGATGAGAAGGCTACTCATTTTATTGCCAAATTTAAAAGGGCTCGAAATAAATGTAGAGTCATCCTGCCAGAGCCAGAATTCGTGAGATTGGCTCAAAATGGCTTAGAGTTTAGGCTTCGAAAAAAGTTTGACTCAACTGAGTTCAGAGACTTAGTGGAACTCACTTATAAGATGTCTAGATACGAAGCATTACTGGAGGAGGAACAAGATCGAAATAATACATCGTACAAGACATATTATAGAGATCCTAATTATGAGATCGATGCAGCAGAGATTGTGGGGGAAAGAACCTATGATCTGTGAAGCATTAATTCATAAGGATACAACAATTAACCAGCAATTTAAAAAGAAAGACCTTCACAGTAAATACTTTTTCGATTTAACTAAGGCAGATGACATTTTTGATCATTTGCTTGCGGCCAACTTCCTTAAGTTACCAAAAGGAGTCAAAATTTCATCTCTTGATGAACTTAAAGGAAAATTATATTGTAAATGGCATAATTCTTGGTC